CATGAGTTTCAGTTGTAGCATATATGTAGCATTATTAGTATTTCAACTGCTCAACGGCCTTGAAATTCAGATAATCCAGCAACACTCAGGGGAGAATATGTACCAGGTTTGAAACATTTTTGTTTACCACAGGGTGAGATTTGCTAAAAAAATGCTATTCATTTCCCTCATAGAAGAAGTGTACTTGGACCCAGAGTTCCTAATATTTGTCATAATGGCAACTACAAAATGACGCACAACTTACATAACAGAGGTCTATAGCAAAGTCTCAGAAGGTGGGTAGAGGAACATGAACCCATACTCAAGTATTAATAGAGGGATAAAATAATCACAAAAGTCAAAGTACCTCCCCAGGGACAACCTGAGTAGATTGTCTGTGTAGATTGAGTAAATCCAGCATATATCAGCAGAGGAACTGAAGATTGTCATGCTCTGTTCTCCTCTTTTTGGGATTCTTTTGAATCTGAAATAAAATCCTAAAGCTCCAAAGTCAGAGATTCTCTGAATCTCTAATCAGTACAGTTGTCACCAACGAAAGATAATGAAATTAAACCCAAAAAAGGACTAAATATGAATGGCTAAAATGTAACTCACTAATATACTTGAGTAGAAGTATTTTACTTTAGTACTCATATTTGAGTAAATGCAACTAATTACACACCTCTGGGCAAAAGTCCTTCCAATTTGATGGAAGATTACAGGAAAACAATTTTGTCTTTTAAACAATATATGACGAATTGTGCTTAAAAGACCAAGAATGCACAGTAACAATGTATATAAGGTCAGCTGTGATTTCAGGTCAACTTTTAAATGGTACATAAGAACGGTCTGTTCCAAAGAACAGTGCATGAGGAAAAGTAGCCACTTTGGAAACAGAACTGATAAGCCGTAAATTGTTATAACATGTTGCTGCTGCAGCCATCAAAGGCTAACAGCACTAAGAAAAGCTGCCCTGAATCACATATGAAATATTAAGGAGCCAGGAAAGGAATACTTATCACACAATAACAGGCAGTATAATATCAGCCCCTTCTGTACAGAGTAGTAGACAAAAGCTTGACACAGATGGTGGCGAACAGTGCAGACCCTACAACAGCTGGCACGGCCTTAAGCCTATAACAGAGTGGATCACCCATGGCCATTCACCAAATCGAGTCTATAGCAGACATTATGTGGCCCCAGGAAAAGGGCTGGTCTTATTAAATGATGATCGCAGGAGGTTAAGCAGAGGCAAATCTTCTGAGGTATTTAAAAATTCTCCCCCCTGACTGTGCGTAAGACTTCCTGGTAGGATTACAGGCAGGCGGTACATGTGGTGTTGTGGCTACATACCTTCAGTCTGCCTAAACCCAATCTGTTGCAGATTTTTATTTTATTTATTTTTTTGGGGGGTGGGGGGCAACAGAGGGGGTTGAGAATCAAGACAGAGTGGAGAAGTTAGTAGATGAGAGCCAGAGAAGGTGGATAGAAAAGTAAAAAAGCAAGCGCAAGATGGAAAATTGTGGACTGCCGACAGAGGAGAATCCATCAGAGAAAAGATGAATATAGGATGAAAGACAAAACTACAGTCAGCTAAGAAGCCTGAAAGAGCAGGATATGGAAAGTTAGAGATAAAAGAGAGACAGAGAAGAGATTTCCACCATTTTTTTTTTTTTTTGCGAAACATCATGATCCTCTTTAGATTCATCACGTTTTCTGATCTGTGATTTCAGGGAGGGCCCAGAGAAGAGCTAGACTCGGCTCTTTTGACATATCTCTCTTAGTTCCTGCCAGCGCTATAAATTTAGTGATCTGAGAATTTCAAAGACGTTTGCATTTATAAAACTCAGTGTTCGGGAGAAGAAAAACACACAGGCTTACCCACTCCCTCAGTACGTGTTTTCTCAAAAGGTCCACTTAAAACTAAACATACCTAACCACTCAAGATGGCAGCAATTAAAGACACATGTGGGTTTTTACATCTGGGGCTTTTTGAAGCAGCAAGGGCAGACATGGATATCTGCACAGAGACGTCTTGATCTCAAAAGAATTCATATAACATAGCTGTGGAGCTCGAGTCCATGCATATCTATCTGACAGTATGTTATAATAAGATGACGAAAACATAATCAAGCATTACTTAATGGCCTTCATGCACTAAGTTGCCAGTTTATTAGCTACACTTATCATCTACAGTACTGTGCAAAAGCCATCCTTCATTTATTTAATTTCCAGTCAAAACGGCCATAAAAGAGCAAGTTAATCATTTTCCAGAGATATTTCTGAGAAGATAATATACAAGATAATCCACTTGCACAATGAAGTGGAAAGTCAAAGGAAAATATGTGACAAAAAAACAGAAGTTGCCAAAACGGCAGTTCAAAAAGTATTTAAAGAGAGAGAAAATGAGGCTCCTAACAACTGCGCAAGACCGGGTAGACCACCAAAACCCACTATCAGATAAACAGCATTTAAAGCTTTAATCTTTGAAAGAGAGCAGAAAATCAAGCTCCACTCAGATCTGAAAAAATCCACAGGTGTTTCTGTCCATCCTTCCACTGTGAGAAGAAAACTCAGCACTATGAGTCTGTAAAGATGTGTAGCTGTCAAGTTGTTACTGAGAAAAGGAAACCGATACAAAAGAAGAACATTTGCAAACAAAGAAGCTGCTGGTGTTTTTAGAACAATGGACTCACCTTTTAGAACTCAGTTTCACTAAATGTGTTCGGGACTGCTTGCATCATGAGAAGCAGACAATGCAACCAACTTCTAAGACTGAACTCTGGACATTGAAAAACTGGTAACTTCAGCTTAAAGGCCATTTGTGTAATAAAGTGTCCTGGTTACCAATGATATGAATATCTGATACATTGAATGCTTGGAGGCACTTTAATGTAGATGTTATCTAATCTTTAGTTAATTCATTAATTAATGTACAAGCTCAGTGCAGCATTCATATTTTATGCTGTTATGTAATCTCTCCATATGGCATGTCTGACACTTAAGGCCTACACAGCAAAAAACATGTAGTGCACTATTGATGCACACTGAAACAAAATCCACTATGTTAACATTAAATGTTAATACCTCTTAGTCTTAGTTCCTTCTGTTGCATCTCGGTTCCTCTCAGTGTTCCTTCCCCATGTTCTTATGGTGTTTTTTTTTTCCATTACTAGTCACCTTCATCTCGTTCATTAGGGGCTTGAACCTGGATTTCAGTACAGCTGCTTTGGGACAATGACCTCATTCACCAACCATCCTTAAGAAGAAAATTCTTCTTAAAACCCACTGACACAGAAGATTCTGACATTCACCAGTGTTTTCTTATTTGGGATTTGTTCTTAGGTAAGAACAAAATCTACACACACTCAAGAGCACAAAAGTGTGAGCAGTTCTGCTGTTTAAGAACACGTCATGAATCTGACATGGACTTTCTCTTAGGACCTTTCTTAAGAGCACGTTTAAGAGAAAACTTAGGTGAATGAAGCCCAGTGTTGTAAAACATTCTATTTAAAAAAACTGCATAAAACTTAAATATGCTGTTGATAAGGATCACATGGTACATCAGACCATCTACAGTAGCCATTTGTAACACTATCAAATGTTTCACCTCCAGTCCTAATCTAATTCGGCTAATTAAGATTTTCAGGGACACTGTAATAGTCAAAGTGTACCAGATTAAGGTTGGAAGTGAACTTGGCAGGAGGTTGTGCTTCAGGATCAGGCTTGTGATGCCGACTCTACAGAAAGTCTTTACAACATTGTACATGCTTTGTACACTGCTGCCCCCTATTGTTCAACATTAAAGTTGAAGGTGCGCACCTTTAAACCATGATTTTGCAAACACATCAAAACTCAAATCATAAATTTTCAATTCTAGTCTCGTGTTTTATTTTGCTTCATTTCTTCATTAAATATTCTGCCAGCAGGTGATGTCTACATTATCTTAATTTCAAAAGTAAGCCATTCGAAGGAAGCACAGCTTATCAACACAACCAAAATCAAGCCGATGGTCAGCCCGTTAAAAATATCTTCTACAAGCTTTGCTAGGATTTTGCATAAGAGAGCAAGTGTACACACAACACACAAACAGTGTCCCTTTACTCATTCACATGTGTAGGATGAGTCCGCATACTCTCATTCAATTCCATTGCTTATTTGCTTCAGTAACAACATTGTTTAACATTTGCTTAATTCATTCAACCTCTAATTCGCTCTATTCGTTCGAGTGAAAAAAACAACAAGGGCATCCTATATCGCAATGCAAATTAAGGTAAGCTGGTGCATCTCAGTGAACTGCTACAGAAATACAGTTCTAAATATCCAGTTATTATTTACAACCCAGAGTCTTCACGTCATTATATGTACCAACCTATCTTCTAGAATATTACCTGTATGAGAAAGCTGCAGTGTGGGATACACATGAATTGGCACACTTTGCCAGTTCTCCATTACTGAGGATGTTTGAGGAGCAGAACGCTGAAGAGCAGTTTGTAATGGAGCTGATATGACCAGAGGAGACTTTGGCTCTTACTAATATTATGGAGGTAAGATTAACAGTCAAAATTATGACTTCTATATGGATGTTAAAGGCAGAAAGCACTTTGCTTCAGTGAGAGAAACCAGTATAAAAAACCCTGGAGGTGAACAACCTAAACGAGAATAACAAGAGATCTTCCACATCTCTGGGGAAATACTATATGGTCTTGCATATAAACATAGTTTCATATTAGGAGGTTATATAGGCCACATTAAGATTTTTTTGTGATTTGTTTTGAAGAAATTCACAATTATTCTAAAGCAATTAAATCCTATCAAAGTGTAAAACAAACAAAAAAAAATACATACATAACAATAATAATAATAATAATAATAATAAAGGTAATCTGAGGAGCATTTTCGGTGCAATAAAAAACAAGTGTTTCTTAAAAATGAAATATAAAAACCAAATTCACTGAGATGAGACTATGCATCTCAGGACAGTTTTCTGGATTATCATCATTCTAAGACAACTACCTTAATTCAGTTCAATTTAGTGACACGTGATTGGATGGTAACTCGTCTGACGGGTGTCTGGTCTGCATTACGATTTGCTACCAGCTCTTGCAGCTGCAGAGCACCTCCTCCAATGAAGCAGAAGGCAGGGCAGACAGGGGCAGAGCAGTCCACAGGCCCCTCCCAGAGTGGGCGTAGAGAATGTGCATCATAAAAAGTGACACGCCCCTTCTCCACATCGAGACACACCCCAAGCCTGGGAGGCAGAGGATAGGTGACGCCAGTTGGAGAGGAAGGGCCGTTGCCGTTGGTGATGCCGCCATCTCGGTGGTTGGCTGTTCCGTGGTGGGAGTTAGCAGAGGGTGGCAAGTAGATCTTGCCCATGCCCATGGTGAGGAAGGTAAAAGGGGGCGGAGAGTCGGAAGAATCCTCAGCCCCGCTATCATGTCCACTGTCTGGGTCATACCTACAAAGACAGGGCAATGGTTATATTGCAGAGGCACATGTCAAACAATCTCCTTTTATACTCTCTCTACAGCTTCCCTTACTCACTCACCGTGGGCTGGCCATGTCTTGAGGCAGATGGAACCATTCCTGAAGTTTGGACTCCAGACCAACACCAACCTTTATAGAACAAATAGGGAGAGAGTGAAAGTGCAAGTGCGAGAGCAGTGAGAAAAAGCATTCTGCATACCCAAGTAAGCGAGAAGGTAAATCAAGGCCTTGTCCACACCTATCCAAATATCTCTTCTATTTTTTCAGACTCTAAGAGGCAAAATGACTACTAAGAACAGGTATGTTAATCAATACATTGGGAGGGTTACTGTTAATTCAGTCTTGCTGGGCCAGACATGATCTTGTAATTAGAATACACATTTGGGGACAACTTGTAAAAAAAATTGAGCTAGATCGCAGTGAAATCTGCTGCAAACAAGACCATGCCCACACGCTTTCCCTCTAAACCCAAACCAAATTCTAAGAGTTCATGCACTTTTAACTGTGACTTGACTGTGGCACAATAAACAGCACAAGCAAAACAGAATATTGCTAACTAGCAAATAATACCATTATCTAACATTCTTTAAAATTAATGTTTCAGGAATACTACTTGATTTAGCTTTGTTGGACTTATGATCAATGCACAAACTGATTTTCTCTGTTTACTCTGAAAACAGTAACTCGGGAGAAAAGAGATATATATGGTTGTTAGCACATCATTCAACTTGTATCAAAATCCCATTGTTCATTTTGCAGGTGTAATGACAGGCCGTCACTTTGTTCCTACACTTTTCTTGCCTCCTTTACTCCAGAACCCAGATGTTACGAGACTGTGCCTGACCCTGTGAGACTACTGTTATGTAACCCATCAGGTAGCCGGTAGGTAGCCACTACATCAATTTTTCCAATCCCAATCTCCAGACTCTGGACATCTGAACTCCAGTCTCACAGAATTTGGACATACATTCACAGATGCTCAACTACATCATGTTCAATCTGCATGGTTGCACAGCTGCTCAATTTTTGCTTCCATTGTTTTGCTATGAATTTAGATTAATTCTACAAGCAACATTTGCTGAAGCTTGCATCCCTCACAGAAAGTTTGCAAAAGGCTTAGAGGAATGGCAAAAATGAATTCCCTCAAGTTTTACTTGCCTTGACCAGGTAGGACCCAGGTTCCACTGAGCATGCCCAGTAGTGGCGCCCCTGCGTAACAGCTACATCACCCACCAGCAGGTCAGCAGTCAGGTGACAGGAAGTGAGGGCACGGTCAGCAGCCTGCAGAAGGGAAAGGCCTGGCACACTGCGGGCGCAACGCTGCTCTTTACTGACCACCAGTCTGTCAGCGTGCAGACCCCAGCGCGAGTCCAGGTAGAAATTCAGTACTAATGGGGTAGGAGAGAGGAGGAGAGGAGGAAAGGGAGATGAGAGAATGAACGACAGAAGAAAAGGAGGTCAGGAGAAGAGAGTGGAAGAGTGGGAGAGGATCAGAAAAGAGAGACAGAGCAGTTGAAGGAAAAAGAAGGGGAGGAAAGGCAGGATTGAAGCATAGAATCATAGAGGTGTACAGGGGGAGGACAAAGCATAAGGACAGCTATCAGGAAAAGAGCCACAGTAGAAATTAGGACTGAAGAAACGGGAGATGCACAAACTGACTACAAATATTCTGGGCAGCGCAGGGTGAAACATAAAACTACACAAGGAAGAATACTCTTTAGAAGGCCAGCTACTTTTTAGTTTAGGGATGAAAAGAAAACATTCAATAGTAAAAATGCATATTTTGAAGCATTAGCCAAATGCAATACCACTTGTATGCACATGAGGAAAGCATGTGCTAACATTAACTAGTAACCAAAACAGGGTTTTTTTTTTTATTGTTTTTTTTTTGTTTGTTTTTTTGTTAATGTTAGCATCATGTGTGTTATTGGTAACTCAGTACACATCAGTGTACTACAAAATTCAGAAGTATTCAGGCTTTAGTTACTGCATGGGTGGGAAAAATATGATCTCATAGCAAAATACTTCACAACACCAAGGGCCTGAGGAAGTAAAAGACTTGATAACTAAGTAACTTGGTGGATATAGGAATGCATGGTTCATATGGCACATTAAAAAAGTATAAGTAAGCCAAAACGTGTGAGAAAAATGACAGAACAGAAAAGCAATTTAAAGGAAGCATGAGGAGAAAGCAGAAAGAGGGATGCAAGTCTGACACAAGAGAATGGGAAAATGACAACAGAAGAGAGAACAAAAAGGTATACGGAGGGATGGGGATGGGCAAAAAGAAGAACAGAGAGAGAAAAGAGATGAGTTATTGAGCATTACTTCATGGATGAACTGTGATTATTAAACACAGCATGTCCCACAGCCACAGTGCACACATGTGGATGTTATTAACCATGTTATTGTTAGACAGGTTCGAGAGCTGGTTTTCCAAGTGAGAGATGTTTTCCATGTGAGAGAATGTATCTGTGTATGTGATCCTAAAACGTGGGATGAATACATCTTAAAAGCTGTTGTTTAAAAAAAAAACCCTGCACTTTCAAAAACAGTCGCTAGGAGTTGCTAAAGAAACTATTATTGATTATTAAGAGGTCAAAAGCAATACAACTATAACTAAAAATGATGTGACTCATGTTACTGACCTAAAATTATAGGAGTAGGCCGCTTCTGCATTAGATTAGGACTAGGGCTGTCACTTGAGCAGTCAACCACTTTTTGTGAAAAATAATCTAGTAGTCAGAATTTCTAAGGAAATTCAAATAATAATAAATGATAATAAAATGAACAGAATTGTCCAAACCATGTATAGTTTTTTCAATTATTCCAAAATAGTTTACTGGAAGGACTTTTATATATATTCATATATGTATATATTCATATAAATATATACATTTTGATGATTTTTAAAATCAAGGAGGGTTGCAACTATTGAATATATTTTTATTTTTGAATACAATTTTTATTTTTATCTCAAATATTTAAATATTCTATAACTGAACAGAAAATCTTCTTTATTCTTGTAGCTGGATTAATTGTTATTTTTTGTACTACTGAATAAATAGAATTTATTTTGCTTTTTAACAAAGGTTAATTGAGAGCCTGCTAGCTAACTAGCTAGAAATCTAGAAAAGTAGGAAACTTATTTGGACTGCATCTTAAGTTAAACCCTATACTGTCACCTGGAATTATGAGTCTCTCAAACTGTGCCAGATCACAAAGAGTCTGCAGTGCATCCAGTGTGCAGAGCTGGCAGCTACGTGTTACTCTCCAGAAGCTAGAATTTGGCTTGATAAATGTTTGCTTCCCCAAGAAGAAAGTGGATCCATAAAAGTAGTAAACATGATGGTTAATCGAATGGCTTTTCTGTTTCCCAATGTTTTAATTAGCAAATTTATTACATTATCTATATAATATTATCTGTTTTTTGTAGCCCTATAATCAACTTGAGTCACTTAATTGTGCCACTCAATTGCTACTCTGGTGCCAGTGATGCAAAAGCTTATTTTTCTTTCGTATCATGATTCATTATAAGCACCTACCAAAATCCTGTCTCTCCATACAAATCTTGAAACACAGCCTTTTTACGACCCCCAACAGATAAACAGCTGCACTTGCAATCCAACATTATTCATTAGCATAGTGCCACTTATCTGTGTTAAATAAGGTAACTCGGGTCTGACCCCATCCAACAACCTAGAGAATATGAATGTTAAATGTGTATGCGCGAATAAACAGTTTTGTTATTCATTGTTTTCTTCTGCTTGCTTGTTTCACTGAGTTCATGCTCTGCAAAGGCATATCACAGTTATGTTCTTCCTCAGTATGTGTGTAAACTAATTACCTGGAGCTGGAGGGGTGTGTAGGTATACTTCCTCACTGTACTCTCCAAAGCCAGCTTTGTTGCAGCCCCTTACTCTCAGCACATACACGCTGTCCATCTCCAGTCTGTCAATCACTGCGCTGGTCCCGCTCACCTCCTCTAATCGCTGCCAGCCCCAGCGGGCCCCAGCCAAACCCCCACGGATGCCGCCTCTTGCGCCACCTCCTGGTACCACACCCCGGCGACGGTACTCCACTGAGAAGTGCCATGCAGGGGAGGATTCCTGCGGAAGCCGCCAGCACAGGAAGAGCTGATCGTAGGCGAGGGTGCGCTGGGTATCAATCACAGGAGCTAGTGGAGCTAATGGGTAATGGAGTTTTTCATTAGATTTTGTCAAGTCTCACTGCATTCACAAATATTCAAATGTGTCCTAAATGTGTCTACTTGTGTCAACTGCTGTTTTTTACTGTTCCAACTTCAAGAAAAGTCAGAACTGAAGAAACCGAAATAGTGTGCACACACTCTATTTCTCACCCTGAATGAAGTTTAGGTCAGTAAGAAGTTTAAGCTCTCTGGAAACGTCCAGCTGGAAGTGTCTGAATGACGGATCAGCGGAGAGAGAAAAACTCTGCAGGGACTCAATGGACTGGGCCAACCTGTGAGACACAAGGAAAGAAAAAATGAGTGTCAGTCAGTGTTAATGAATTCCTGGATGCCATCAGTTAAACTTTAAATGTCAACGAGCTACTGATATCATCTGCAGTGCTGCATGGATGTAAAAACTATTCATATGTCTCATCTGTTCTATATTTGCATGAGCTTGATGTCTTTTTAAAGGACTCTTGCACCAAAACTGAACAAATTATGCACTACGACTACACTTTGCACTACGACTGACGATGATGAGACAATCTTTCAATTCTTTTTGAACACTTGTACTCAAGGCAGGAGTTTCAAAGCATGTATTCTCTGCATCATTATATATTAAATTCACTCGTCAGAATGAAGAATTATTGAAAACAACATATTCTCATAATGTACACATAGCTTGTAATGAGTAAATAAATCAGCTAGGCTTAATACAACTTATTATTTGTAGACCTCTGTAAATCAAAACACATGCAACTTATACAGAGGCCACCATATTTACCAAGAAAATATAACACAATATATATTACATTATATAATGTAATATGCAAGGGTCAAATGCACTGTGCTTTCAACTAGTCAATCAGTTATTATCAGTATATATATATATATATATATATATATATATATATATATATATATATATATACACACACACACACATAAACATTCATGTTATGTTTCATTCATGTTATGCGAGGTCACTTATGAAACCCGTTTTAAAATCATATTAAATCAATTGTTTCATTTTCCTCAAAAGACAGGAACGATTCGGTGTTAGGCTAACAACTTAATGACAGTAATTATAAGTGTGTGTGTGTGTCCTACCTATTGTGGGTTTGCCTTGCTGCATGTACAAAGCAAGCTGCATCTGTCTCTTTTAGCAGCTCCTGGGTAAAAGCCATAAGTCCTGCATGCTCCAGCAGGCTCCGCCTCTCAGCTACCTGATTGGCTAAGGCCTCGCTCCGCTTCTGGCGTGAGCTCTCCAGGCCCTGGGCCAGCATTCCCTGTCGCTCTGACAGCAGGGCCATCAGCTCACGCACACACTGAGAGAGCTGCTCACGGGCTCCTACACTGTTCACCTGCAAACACACACACAGGTTACTGCTCTCATGAACAGCCCCTAAACTATACTTACTACATTGCTTTGTTCTGTCCAATTGGGTGGACATTTGCAGTTAAAGAGTGTTCAGCTTTCTCAATACATTTTGTAATTCAACTTTGCATATTTTCTTGCACTGGAAACACAGCAATAGGAGAGGAACTTTTTTCCCCAGTCATTGGAAATTAGGACTGGAGGGAAAACGTAAGAGTAGCAGAATAGGAGCTAATGGGACAACTATGCGTTTGTGTGGGTGGCACAGAAGTAAAACATTGCATGTTATACTGGGTAGGAAAATGTTGTGTGAGTGGTGGTACCTCAGTTTGAGTGATGGCATTCTCCAGCTGTGTGATCTGAGTCAGCACTGTGCCCTGATTGGACAGGATATAGTTGAGCTCCTTGGTGATCTTGTCCTGTGGCATACACACATACAGTCTGTATGTAAATGGATCTTCACAGTTTTGCTTGTTTTGGTCTACAGCACACCAGATTTGATATGAAACACTAACATAAATGCTGAGATTTCCTGTACTTGATAACAAAAAAAATCTCAAAATCTGTGGGAAAACCGATCTAAGTAAATATAGTCCTGAACTATGAGCTTAAAATCATACCTTGAGTGCCTGATATGCTTGGGTGACTGGCACAATCTTGTGACCTGCATGGACCCGACGGAGCTTACAGAGGGAGCAAAGCAGCCTTTGGCATGATTTACAGTAGAACTGTAACTTTTCCTGATCATGTTCCGGACATGTCAACACCTACAGAGAGAAAAGAATTATGATTTTGATTATCATTAAGGTTGGTTAAGAGTGTAGCTTGATTAAATAATTGCACTTCATTTTTTTGAAGAGAGGCCACTTGGGGAGGTGCCAAAGAACAGTCTGTTCTAAAAATGAGGCCCTTAATACTTCAATCCAGAACTGCCAACACTGTTATGAAAACGTCAGGTCTACCACTGAACTTACTCAAAGAGAATAGGTAAAGTATCCATGAACGGAGAAAAAATGCAGTTCATGAATGATGCAAACAAAACTACTTCTGTACCTACCATTACTACTATTACTACCTCTACAACAAGAATTACTGCATAACAGCATATAGACGCATAAACCTTTAGCCATTTTAAATATCGTGGGCAGTTCCACCCAGACTCACTTTGGGCCTAAAGTTGAGAGTGGGCTGAACATGCTCATGCTGGGCACGGGGGGTGCCCCAGGGGTGGTAGAGCTTGAAGCACTCATTGCAGAAGCTGGCCCTGCAGTCTGCACAGCCCTTAGTGGCTTCCAGAGCCTGTGGGGGCTTACAGAACTGACACATCACTGCCACACTGCCAAGACTCACTGTGTGTCTGTACCTGGAGAAGAAAAGACAATGAAAGGAAGGAGAAAGAATGAAAGAAAGAAAGACAGGGAAAACACATCAAATAAAGATATCATTATTGTAAACAGATGTCTGTTATATTTGCATCTAAACCAGCATCTAGCTGACTGAAATCTGCATCTGCTCTAGTTAATTTAAGTGAGCTCACCTCAGCATGTTAACATGGTCAGCAATTAATGAACTGATCAATTAATATGTACCGTAGTTCAGTGTGGCTGTGAGCAACCCAAGCTGGTCACTAATCAATGGTGTGGGGAAGTGTGTATCTTGCATTACCTCTCCACTATGCGCTCCAGTGTGAGGTTCCTCATGCAGTCAACCAACCCTCTCTCGCCCAGTTCCACATCTCGACCGCAGGGGACGCAGGGAAAGAGCATTAGCTGGGTAGGGCCTTCCTTTCGCCGGCGACCTGGGTATGTACCAAATCCTATTTAAAAAAAAGAAAATATAGAGGAGCAGCCATTTATTTAAGTACACTCTTCTGTTTCATCCTGTATTCATTTGTACCCTAATATACTGGAACCATCAGACAGTGTGCATGCACAACAAGGACACAAAGTGTCACTAATGCGAAGCACCAGCATGTAGTACCCTTACTGCCTTTCATGTGATTGGATGAGTTGCAGACATTAAAAAGTCATAAAAAAACAATTTGGAGGTTTTCTCCATCTCTCTCTAGCTAGCCTTCATGATTTAACTTTCCTGGTTATCATTATGCTTTGTTTTGGGGCAGCAGCATTTGTGTTATTGGCTAAGAGCCACATACTGCGAATTCAGTGGGTCACTATCAGGTCTAGATATGTGCACTCCAGTATTTGCCCAGTACATGCCATTTGTCTCTGGCGTTTGTCTTATCATTTTATATAGGACTACAGCAGAATGACAATACACATTTCCCTCTTTCTCACTCTCTCAGCGGCCCACCGGGAATTCTCCTGGTCCTCCTGATGGCCAGTTCATAACTGCTATTAAATCATCAAAAAAAGACAGTTCTCACATGTCCACAATGGTCATTTCAGCTAACAGCAGGTTGTTGCACAACATACCAAGGAACATATCTAGATTTAGGTAAGTAAACAGTTTTTAGCACTGCAGCAGCAGCAGATTTGAAAGTTCCCAGCATTCACTTGGGTTCGATTAGATCCATTTACTTACAATAATGAAGTACAGGGTGATTTGAAGATGCAAAACATATGGCAAACACAGGATATCCTGCAGGTCTGGACGTATACAGAAGTTACTAGTGTGCCTGTAGCGCCCCCTTGTGGACCATCTTGTTAAACGTGAGTGAGTGAGTTATAAGCCATGTCCATGAGGTGCTTTGCATCTATAAATAGCACAAATCACAAAAAGCATATAAGATATAAACATATAACATATGAAATGTATAAACCTACTCACCTGGCCGCAGTGCACGGTCTATACGATCGGCCTTGGGCATGGGCCTGCGGGCCTGGCGTGGAGAGCGGGTGTTAGGGGTGGAAGCAGGCGAGTTGGGCTCAGGAGGCAGCTCAGGCTGGGGGTAGCCACTCTGCACCAGCACCTCCGAAGCACAAAGTAGACATACGCTGTGCAGGCAGGGCAGCACCACAGGCTGCTTCACTATGTCCTTACACACTGGGCACTGAAGCTCACGCTCCATGCTCTTCATATTTGACTGGGGGAGGCAGGGAAGAAAAAAATGTGGCCTATCATCAAGATACAAATATTCAGTAATATATGACTTGAATTTAAGTGAGATTGAACAAAAATAAAATTCAGAGCAAAAGCCAACAGCATACAAGAGCATAATACTTAAGTGACTGATTGATCCTTTTATTGCCACATGACATGTCATCTTATAAACAGACTATAATTACACTACTCAGAAGAGTTTGGTAACTTTATCACAGTAGAAAAAAAAGATATGCTTGACGAGGGTTATCTAGGTTTTTATGGATCTGTAGCTAATGGTAATATAAAGTAATTACTTTCACCATGGTAGCATTTAATGATTCTCAGAGCCCAATTTTACAATCTTCATTTGAGACATCTCTTGGGGGCACTATTCTGAGGTAATGTTGACATGTGAAAGGTAAAAAGACACCAATGGAAATCGATGCTGTGGATACAGAGTTGCTGAGAGTAGCAATTCATGAGTAGTTGTTCACTCAGCACAAACACTACCCTCTAGTGACCAGGGAGAAGACTGTGACTCTCTATGATGCGCAGGGAACACAGGGTCCAGGCCTTGTACCAAATAGGAAGATAATATGTATTTTTAAATGGTTCATGTAGAATAAAACAGATTAATACTCCTTTTCATGTTTTCCCTGATTATGTCACTGAAACGCTTTGGACTGTCGAGCACTACTGTAGAAGGCAATGCAATAAGACTATTGATTAATAACCACACCTGCTGCAAAATCAATATAAAATATAAATTTGTCAAAGGTTTGCCAAAACATACATATCACAGTCTTCAAGAAATCCAAAAAAGACAAAGTACCACAAAGACACCATTTAAACATTTGGTAAAAGGATTAGCAGTTATATTGATGGTTGTAACATCTACTTTGTACTTTGTTTGCCAGTGGTTTCTACCTTGAAAAACAAGTAACCTACTGTGGTCTAAACTGAAGCAAAAAACTGGCCCAAAAAGGTCACATTAAAACCTAGATGTCAGCATTAAGAACATAAATGGAACACAGTTATGGAAATCATGAATCGATGTGTGCCCGGAATTCCCCTTAACCTCATAAGTAGCAAAAGCTTTATAACCAATGTCTACTCAGCAAAAGCTCTTGGACAGATGGTCTCCTAAAGAATTTTGCTGAGGTAACCCTGAATCACCAAGTCCTGTTTTAGTAAGCTAGCCAAATCCTGAGTCAGCCCAAACCTCAAAACCCTTTCCACCAGTGTTTGCAGCTTAAAAGAGCAGTTTGGGAACTTTATAACTAAAGTCTTTTTCTAAATTCCTCAAATTCACATCGATTCATCTACAACATCAATGTTTTTTCCTTTCTGTCTGCAGTTGGAGCTACTCAAATTATTATAATAAATGCATATTGTTGAGAAAAGTCAGCTGGCCCTTAACAAAAGCTGGTGAGGATTTGGAGGAGATTTGAGAAGATATTATCTGGCAGCAGTCACAACTTCAATCTTCAACTTTCAGAGCTGTTGCAGGATGGAGACTTTGACTAAGAGAATTCAGTTACTATAATTAAGAATGTGCTGGAAACATTTCAAACAAAAACAGTGTTTTTAATCACTTACAAAGGCTTTTTGATTCTAATGACATATTTAACTAATCACAGAACCACATCGGTCAAGTTTCAAATGAACTCAGCAGCCTCGTAACATTGTGGACCCCTAAAAACTCATCTGCAACTAATTTGTTCCTCAGTATTTTGCATGTCTTGTCTTAAATCAGTCCACAGTGAAGAAAACCTCTGAATAAACAAAGGTCAAGATAGTATAATTTCCACTGCCACAGTCTGGGCCTGGGAAAAAGAGGACACATAACTCAAATGTGGCCACAGGAAAGAACCTAAAACACACAGCCATGGACGTTTAGACATTGTATTCTTATTCTTTTATATGTTATGGCCTAAGCCAGCATCAGTCAAAATGAAAAATGAAAATGAAAAATGAAAAATTCAGCTAAAAGCTTTTTTGTGTGGAAATCAGACACCAATACCACACATGAATAATGAATTATGAATACTGGTGAACTGTATGAATCAACAGTATATTAAACCATGCTCAAGACAGTGCTTTGGACAGACTGGATTTGCTATATCTCATATAAATGACATCAGTCAGAAGTCAGTGCACACCTCACAGCTTACAGTCAATAATGCTGCTTATATACTTTGTAAAGTATGAATAGTGAATTGGAATTGGAGTTTAACTACAGTAGACCATGTGGATATTATGTCTTATATATAAAAGTTTGTGGATGTTGTGATTCTAGGATCAAGTCACCAAATCTCCTTTACTATGGCCAGGAGACCTCCTAACTGTCCTCATATACTCATCAAATCTTTATCTCTTTAAATTGACTTACATACTCTAAGCAAGTATCAAATCTAAGTGTTCATGGTATACCACCCTTCTACAAGAAACAGCCTTCTGACTGTGATTAAAGATCAAACGAGAGGTGAGTGGAAAGGCCTGTAAGAGAGAAATTGCCTGTTTCGAGCCAAGACTTTTCTCACTGCCAGATCACTCAGGGAGAGAGGTGTCTTTATAAATAGCTCTCTCTTGTGGGCGAGGAGGATGTCTTGGTTAAATATGAATAACGACCAGCTAAGTGCATGTGCACTGGTCATCTGAAAGGTGTGCTTGAAAGCTCAATAAGAGGCTACACAGCTGAACACACACACTTTAGCGAAAAGATCAAGCCAGAATTTCTACTGAAGTGAACTGCCCAGTGGTTGTGGATAGGTTTCTTAAAATATGATGTTTGTTTTTGTACACTACAATTCAGTCAAGTAAAAACTGCACTTGGATGGAGAGAAATCCACATTGTGAAATCCGGGTGAGCTTTCTTATCATACTGGCTAACTGATGCTGAATCATCCCAGAGCTGTCATTTGCTGATCAAAATACAGATTAAAAGCATTTATAGCCTTTTCTGGCACACAGCTGAATTTTACACATTTCTATCACATTAGTATCACACTCACAGTTGAAGGCTTAGCCATGTTTGTGCCTAGCAGAAGCAAGTCTGCACTTACACCTTACACCTCTGATTTCCAGATATCGCCTGGACAGATCCCAGCATTGACAAGAATGTGGAAAAAAGAGGTTATGTTCATTCAGTCATTTACATCCAGCAAAATGAATAATCACAGACATGACAAAGCAGGCTTTACTGCCTGTGCTGTGGTGCATGTAAGCAGTCAGAGAGTGACACTGCACCAACTCAGCACATTATTGCAGAACTCATGGCGGCTGTTTGTGGCGCCTGAAAAGATGACAGAGAATTTAACTATAAGATGGCTGGCCAAAAGTTTGATTGTCAAAAATATAATGATATATGAATTTATTTTTATTGTATGTGTCACAACATTAAACAATTTGTATCACAATATTTTGTTTTTTTGAGATTGCACCAGTTTGAACTTACCTAAAGCATCAGCACAACAGTAGCGCCCAAAGATCTCAGATAAAAGCATTATTACTTTTGTGCAGCACTGGCTCAAGTAGAAGTCCTGTTCCAAAAAAATAACGACGAGCACCTAAAAATCCAGCATCTATCAGCATAGGAACTTAAGTTTGTTAGGTGCTGTTCTTCTATCTTTGATGCACTTTTGGTGGAATACAGTGAGAGGTGTGATCAATCACCAAGCAGTACAAATGCTGTCACCAACGAAACAACATAAAACACGAAAGGAATTATTAACTAAATGTTAATAACTTAAATGAAACTGAGATAAAAAAAAGCAGATTATTTACTATTTATTTAATTCATGAAATAAACATGAATTGTTAAGGGGTTAAGAAATGATGATACCGACACTGTCCCACCACACTATCCACTACATGACCAAAAAAAGAGCTGAGCATACAGACAGCAATGAGACAGGTAGCTCATCTGGCCGCTAAAGTAGGTCTAATATTAGGTCGGCTGCAACAGCGTTCACCTACAGGTTGTGGATGTAGTCACTGTTGCACACACAACTTAACAAACGTTTACAAGCTGTCTATGCAGAGTGTCCTGGATACAGGCATGTCACATACTGGACGCTGAGGTTTGTCCTCAGTGTAGAAGATGACCTTGACACAAAGCGTGTCTCCCATGCAGCTACCAAACTAACAAATGCTATGTTTAGGGACTTTTATATAAGACCTTGCTAAAGGTAGATGTTTTGGGTGATCACAGTACAGGTGAAAAACACTAAGGCAGTTTGACTATTTAGACTTTAATAATATTTGTACGTATCAGTGTCAGAATCACATTATATATACCTATAGTACCACCACTCCTGTGGCCGCTGAGATAATATGCCACAATTAACAGTTAGGCAAGCGTCAGTGGTCAAATAAAAAAGACACTGAATAGTTGAAAGTCATCTACATGTATCTGCTTTTTCATTTACTTGTGATTTTTTGTGCACCACACACCCACACACACACTCACTCACTCAGTAAATCAGATTAATGTGAGAACCACTCGGCCATTATCTTACCACTATTGATCAGAAGAGGGTAAAGAAGAGGAAAGAAGGGGAGACTCTGGTATCTAGATAAGAAGAGTACAAGATACTTAACTTACTTATCAGTTCTGCCACTACAGTAACAACTTCTATACGGAGCAGACCGTTAGACCTCGAGTCAGAAAAGCCCTGTCTGACCACCACAGCCCTACAGAGACTTTTGAATACATCATTTAAACTTCCTCTCCTTCTCCCAAAATAAATATAGCAAACTTCGTTTCCAAACTGGGGCAAAAAAGGGGGAAAGGACGCTTTAATGTCACAGGACGTTTTGGTCGACTCTCTGTCATTCGCCAATGTCAACCAGGCCTCTCCACAAAATGACACATCCCACCACGGAAAGTCAGCGTTTTTATCACTGTTTTTTCTCTACAGTTTCTGCTAGGATAATTCCGAGGTAATACTGAGTATGGTCAGCGTTTAATCAGGATGGACTGACCTCTCTTACCGCACATGTACTCATCAGCACCGCGCTTACCTTCACCTGGTGTCTAGGCGCCATTACAGGAGAGCCTCCTCCCCCGTTAGCTAGGCTGTGGTGCCGGGGGGCGGGAGAGTCATGGCGGACCACCGGTAGGTACACACTTTCAGCATTAGAAACGGTGAGGTAAAACGGATAAAGTGCAGCGAGGCTCCCTACTGTTTACCCCGTGTGAGCTTACCACGGGCCGTTCGCACACCATTTGAGCCCTTTAAGCTGCGGAGTTGTCGTTGCGCGAGTCGCTCAGAGGCAGAACGGCGGTTGAGAATCGACCGTTAATTTACCGTTTGGTGTTTGGGGGCTGCAGCGTTGGGTCCTCGGCTGACTGCTGCTAAATCTCTGCCTCGCTCCGTTCCTTCTCTGTTGAAATATGGGTTAGTAGGATGTCTGCGTCGTCAGTGCGCCATTGGAAAGCCTTTATTTATTTCATTTTTTACTCCCTCCTGTCCCGCCTCCGTACCACAACCTCCGCGTGCCTGCACCCCGTTTCCAAGGCAACGAGCATCCTCGCCCTGCTTGGCGTTTGTCTGTGTCTGAAATTTCACGGTAAAATATCACGCTGAAGGCTGTTTTTATCCTCAGAGAGCTCAGAGGTGATAACACAGAAGTAAGAGAGAATTTGCTGACGGACAGAACAGCTTTTAAAACAGATTTAAGGCTTATATTCGGGGTAAAAGCACCACTGACGCCCAGCCGAACCAAGGACATGATGTTTTACGACACGTCAGCTGTGGCACTAGCCTGTCCGCTCACTGGCTACTGGATGAATGTCGTGTAAAGATAATGTTCATGTTTATTATGTGAAAAAAACGGTTTGTAATATTAGGATATAAAGAAAAAGAAAGCACGAAGGGTGGCTTATGAAAAACCAACCATGTTCGTTGCCGGCTTCTACAGTTTACACCCAAAAGCCTGTTTTATATCGCATGCAGATACAATAAACATAATTTCAGCCCCATTTGTCATCTTATATGACCAAATTCATAAACCCATTATAGATACTATAAAATATGTTAAGGTAAAAAAGGAAAAGCAATCCAGCTTTTCCACCAGCAACCAGGCATAGTGAAATTTTCAGAGCTGAAATGAACCTTAAATGTCTCATACATTTCTAAATAATCCGGTTTACACAGCTAGAGAGACAGTCTGTATCATAACATGCATTCACTTACACTTAAACGAGCCAGGACGTCCATGGCGGGCTGATAGATGTCCAGTCCTCTTCTTGTAGCCTGCAGTGTACTGTACGCTTTCACAGCGCCATCATGGGAGGAGAGTGTAGCGCTCTGTGCAGCCCAACACCCTTAATATGAAGTGGACGTTAAAGCCACAGAGAGCACAGACGAATGACAGTCGTGAGCGAGTCGTTCTTCTGAACCGGCACTCTTTAATGAGTCGGTAAGACCGATTCACGAGTACTGAATCGGACTGTTAGTAGCATCTCTTCAATGTTTACATCCGTGGTAGAGGCTGAAGGTTTAAAATAGAATTCCTCCAAGTTTTAAGATAAGTAAAAAATAAAAATACAAGATTCCACATTGTAACACTTTAAGAACAACTTCTCTGAATCCGCTTCTTTACTCTTTTTATAGACTGTAACCGACTTCCTTTTTTAATTGTGTTTGTCTTTTGTGCATTCCGAGTCTGATTCCCAGTTAATAGTAGAATCAATCATCGTTATATATAGATGTGCAATAAAGTTTACGTAACTTGCGAATCAACAAATCGATGAATCACATGTTGGATCCATTTGAAAGATTCGGTTCATTAAACTGAATTTTTCATGACTAGCCAGCCCTATGTACGGTCCAACTGCACTAGTGCGCCTGCGCGCTGGACATTAATTTAACATTTGCACACATGATGCCTAAATCTTGGCATATACAGTTAGAATCAGATTTTTTTTCATGAAGTCAGTTCTTTTTTTTTCGCTTTTGATCTGAACATTATCACATATTAATAATACATCTCTGGTATATCTCAGAACAATATTTAAGCAGACAGCAGTAATTAATAATAAGACATCTAAAAGTTTAAATACTTTGATCAAATGTTCAAATTTCAGATTTCTTTCTGTCACTTGCAGTGCACATTGCTAGGCAGTGTAGCCACCCATACATTGTTACCATAGCATCCAACATAGATAGAACGGAGAATTAATTGTTCCGATTACTTCCAAAAAGTCAGTGCTAAAGGTCTGACACTAAATCAAATTGGCCGTGTTCAAAACAATATGCTGTAGTGTCATGGCGAAAAAGGAGACACGAGAAAGGCAGAAAAGGGCCATGAAAAACAGCAGAACAGTGGGAAGGGTCACCTCTAGCTATAGCACTCCTCTCCATGGTAGACACAACCCACTCTAGACTAACAGAACAACATAAACAACAACAATAAATATTCTTTGGCGTAGGGGAGTGGGGCGTGCGTGCACAGCTTTGCATACCACGCCTCTAGAGCCCCTTCAGCAAATCAGAGCAAGGGGCAGCCGCCATATAGTCCCCTCCTCAAAGTTCAGCCGTCCTGGTGACCCACACAGCCGGAGCCAGGTCCCTGGGGCACACGGTCCTGGCCAGCCCAAGAACAACGGGGCACTCACTTCTTAGCGGCAAGCACCCCCCAGTCCTCACTTGGGGCAGCGTCCTTGCCTCCGCGGCACAGCAGGACTCCTTATAGCACACTGTGTCAACTCTGGCCCTACCAGGGACAGCGGCAGCAGCAACGTCCCTTCTCTTAGCCGCCCTCTGCTTTCCTTGCTGTTTCACAGACGCTGGTGAGGGAGCCACTCATGCACGCTGGAGACCCAGCTCTCTGCCATGTCTCCACCACTGGTGACTGACCTGAACTGAACGAAGGTCACCTTCAAGCCATCTGATGTGCCTTTCTCAGTTGTGTGCACACCTAGTCATAGTAGGGATATGAACGAACCTGTTTCACTGAGTGCAATGAGCCGTCTGCCGTTTGTGCTGCGCTCGGCCCAAAGTCCACAGCTGCTGCCAATCCTCCTGGCCAGATTCCATTTCCCCACCGACTCAGGCTTGTATCATTGTCCGACACAGGGTCCCCTCATGCTCCTCTGCCATGCAACAGTGTGCTGTTCACTGTGGTGTTTCCATGCTGAGACTGAGCTCTGCTCAGCACACATGCTCAACCGTGGTGCTTCCACAGCTTTCACTGGCTTCTCTCTCTGGCTGGCTTCTTAGCCATTGAGCCTTGCAGTGCTGTCTCCGCCATGAGTTCTTCGAAGTGCCAGTACATTCACTGCCATAGAAGGGGCTATCCCATTTCTTCCCATTTTCCTCAGCCCTCCAATCACTGTTTAGCAACCGTTGCTAGCCGCTTCTCAGCGTGTACGTTTATATTTTGGTCAAGAGATGTGCCTGTGTGACATTTAAAATACACCCCATACAACATCCGAGGGCAGGACGTTGTTTTATACAAAAGACACAAATAAACATTAAAAATGTCAGCTTTGGATTCATCATGCTAGTGAGTTAGCATGTTATGCTGCTGACTATTAAAGAGTAGGGTGAAAACTGTTCAAATGGTTTATTATTAGAAAGAATGAAATAAAGAAAGAAAGCCAGTTGGAGTTGTGATTGCACTATGTTTTGGTTTTGTAAATGAATTTCAGGTTGATGTTTTTATAAGTATTCTTTGGAAAGCAGAATGCTAGCGCTCAGCTTTGTTAAGAGCTAACTACATAGTTAAATTTGTCTGTACTGTAAATCTAACATACGAATTTACTACAGGAATTGAAGATTTTCAGCTGTAAGGTATTTAGAGTTGATATTGAAGGAATTCGTAAGATGTTCATAGTAGAACGTTCAATAAGTAAAGCATTTTTTCACTCTATAGAAGCAAAATGTTTACTATTCCCAGAATCTTCTGTAATGCATCTACATAAGAATTACTTGTTGAGATGTTGAGAAGTAATGGTTGTATTTTTTTATGTAGATTGTTTTTTTTCTTGCATTGAGCTTGGATCCTTCAAGCACGAACGCGCGTCAGACTGTGAGTGTGACCAGAACGGCGAGCCAGGACCACATGTTGAAAGCCGTCTGCCTTGCATGTTGTTCCTTCACGGGCAGGTACAGAACAGGAGAAACAGATACGCTTTTTCTTACGAACTGCACTGAGATTCATCCCAAAGAAAAGAAAAGAAACTACATATACGCATATTCACATAAAAGCAGCATAACAGACTTGAGCTTCAGATTTTAATTCAGAGACAGTGATCCTGAAGAGCTCTTAAGTTTTTTTGGGGGGGGGCCCATTTTCTTTTATTTCTTTTTTTTTCTGTGTGTAACTATTTGTTTCCTTGTTTTGTATATGGCTGTTGAGCTAGCAATATATTCATTTTTGTTATTTTCTTCCAAGCCTTTGTCACGTCTCTTTCTTTCTATCCTCCTTGTTTCAAACCTAGCAAACATGACCAAAGTTGATTTCTCCATACCAGTGAGAGTGTTACATACACACATCTTAGACTAACACAGCAACAACATTAACAATATAAACAACACAATGCTGTACTATACTATACAAACTATACAAATTAGCGTACTGCTAATGGTGGTGTGCTAATTTGACATGCTCTTTAGTATAAAAGTATGCAGTTTTTGGATGCAGCCATCTGCCATATCAATAGAGTCTAACATATTTCGTTCAGTCCAAAGACATGAATTATATGACTCAACACAGCTGCATGGAAAACATGAGTAAGTGCAGTGTTGGTGGACCTCACAGACCGGAGTTATGAAACACCATCACATAGCATTTTGCTGGGGAGCAAATGTTGTAGTAATAAAGTGGCTGGTGCTCATCAGTCTGTGCTTCCCACAGACATCCATTAACTTTTTCATTATGCATGACAACTGAAGCCAAAAACTGAGAGACATAATGACCCAAAAGGATAATAACATTGTGTGCTTATGCCCTTTAGTTGTTTCATTGCTCCATTCAGAGTCCAGTACAAACTTACTAACCTCCCCACTGCATTCATAAATGCATGAAAAAAAGGGTCTCATATTTTTTACAAGCGTGATTTTTAACTACACAACATATACGCTAATTTAGGCACATCTTAGTCAATGTTTATCAGCAGCTGTTCTGTCACCATAAACCACAACTTCTACTACTACTACAATGACGACTAGTACTACTACTAATTAAAATATTAGTAATAGTAGTATAACTACATTCCATTATGTTCCACTAATGAATACATTACATTACAGTTCCAAAGTTTTTTCTAACATGCTGTATGTGCTGCTATGTCATGAATGAATCCACAAAGGCAGATTTAACTAACTAGTGGTCTAAATTAGAATAATAGCTAAGCTAGATGTAGCAAATGTGCACCATTAATACTGCATCAGGTTTTTGTTCGAGTGGCTCCTCTTGAATGCAGTGCCCTGTTTTCCTTTTTAGCAATGTAAGCATATTCTATCATTCTAATACCTGCTCTGTAGTGGTCATGACCATTGAAGAACAGGTTAAAAGGGGCTAAAAATCATGTGGAGAAACAGATGAACTACCATCTGTATTTTGTATTTGTAGGGCTACAAAGTATATTTCACTAATCAAATTGCACAGGTGTTTTTACACTCGTTTAGCAGAAATTTCTTATGCTTATTTTGTTTTTGTCTTTTAAATCAAGCTTTATTTTTGCCTGTATTATCACTGCATTAGTATTAGTGCTTGATATTTTCAGCAGCCTATGTCACAATGTCACCTGTCACAATGGTGTCAATGGTAACTTGCAACTGAAAGCCATTTGAATTCCATTGAAGATCCTGTGAGATTTTAATGCGAAGCAGGGCCTTTTACTACATTAGCCACTGTATGTGATGAACATACTTGAAACATGAGTGATTTGGGCGAGTTCACTGAGGTAGTGGTCACTGATAAAGCTGCGATCAAACAAGAACCCTGTTATGCAAGCCAGAGTTTAAGCAGCAAGCCGGAGCTTGAGGGTACAGAAAAGCATGCGCTGCCCTGTTTGCTGAAGACTGCATGGGATGCTGAGGAAAATGAGGACTGTGAGCGAAGCAGCATTATCAGCTCCTGCAGTAGCACCGACACTTTCCCCTTTGCCATCTACCCTCGCTGTGAAGAGCTCATTCGCCAAGAACATGTCCCTCCGCTTGAGAAATATCCATCATTTCCCTCCTTTGAAAATGCCAGATGTGCCAGATCTGTTCTGTCTGAAAGTTCAAAACAGACCCTTTC